CCCAGCTCGTTAGTGTTTTTTTGAGGGATGTTGAATTCTCTCAGATGGTGATTTACAGACTGTTCTGTTAGGTGGATTAAAAAGACAAATGTCCAAAGCCAGTATTGATCGTTCGGATTCATTGATTTTTTAACATAAACGCCGTCCACGTGTTATTAGGTTCACATACGCGTCCTCTGAAGTTCATTTCCGCTCCACTGAAAGCCAAACATTTTATCGGTCAATTATGACAGCTGATGACAGCATCAAATGTCGGTGCGCGAACTTAGGCATGACGGGCCAAGTGGGTGGTTTTCAAAATCCCGGGGTTTGTCTGCAAGCGTTTCCTTCCTTCCTTCCCCACCCCCTCCCCGCTCTTTTACTTGCGCCATTTTTCGCGTAGACTCGATTACCAGCCGCTGTTCGGGAAAATGAGCCCGCACTCACTCAAAAATTGGTCCTGCAGATATGGCGGCAATTTCGATCAGTATGCTTGCAACTTTCTTCAATGTTGAGCCAAAATCGATTAATCGGGGAGAGAACTACTACAATTCCAAACATGTTGAGTTTCTTGAATATTCTTAAGGATGTCGTGAAAGGATCTGTTCGTGGGCAAAATCAGCCAAAAGATTCGTGTTGTCTAGACTCGCCCAGCCAGTGCGGCGAGCTCTTGGTCAGTGCAAAGGAGCGAAAAAAGCTCTGGGAAACGATCCATCAATTCCCATTTTTTAAGAGAACAGGAAGCTTAATTGACCACGACTGCGGTGACAACAAGAACAAAAAGCAATATATTTAGATAAGTAAAATACCATCTTGGCCCGTGCATCACGCTTTTGTATATTTCTTTGCCTTTGTAGCACGACTCGGATGTGAAACCGTTTACATCTTTTTCTGAACTTTAGAGTTCAACTCCAGTTAAATTACCCAACTTTTTGATAAAGTTTCAGATAGCGCGAATTTTCTTTTCAAGTAAAGTTTTTGTGGTTGCTTGAATCTCTCTATTTTCAAAAGTAGAGCATTTCTAGCTCATACTTCTCTGGCATCGTTCGCCAATGCTAATGGCCTTCTCTGTCAATAAAGATTGTTGAGACCCAGAAAATTTGGATGGTACCATTGTACTGCAGTGTGGAGAGGAGAGATAATGCTCCGTAAGTACTTGAACATCACGCTCAACCTCGTTCACGCGTCAAAACCAACAGTGTGTACATACATTTATCTTAGCCTCTCACTTGAAACGCAAACGTAAGCTTAACAAAAAGCTATCACAGTGTTCATTTAAAACTATGTCATTGACGTATGATATACGTCAATGAGAGCATTCAACCAGGTTAACTGATCTTATCAGTGACAGCAAGCGTCATGGACGATATTGCTTCCAAGACACGCACCATTAAAAAACAATATAGCTGATATCCTAGGCCCACTGCAAGTCGCGGAACTTTGGTTTCCTATCATTTAACCTTGGTTAACATTAACTCAAGTTTGAACGACTCCAGACCTTAAAATTGTCACATGATCTTAAGTAGACGTTATTCACGATGATCGCAATCTTTGCCTGCGCTTTAGGATTGATGGGATTAAAGCAATGTCACATGGCATTTTAGGGGGCAAACAAACGACAAAATTTGCAAATCGACGTTGAGTTTGCGGTTTATATTCTTTTTACACGAGACGACAAATTTAGCAAATTTGAGTTCTTAAGCTTTTTAGCTCACCCCAACAACCCATAATTTATTACAAGCGGTAGAGTAATCAAACCAAAAATCTGTAGGCCCGGGCCTGCAGGTCTATGGGCTGGCTATGCCCCTGCTAGTGGCGGTTGCTTAAAAATTTTCTGATTTAAGCCATATTTCAAATTCTTTATTGACCGACCATGGCTGGATATTGACCTCACGCTTGGTCGCGGATGACATATACTTTTATATTAACTTAGGTTGAAGTGTATCATTGTTTTCAGTTTAATTACTCACGTGATTGCCGCTGAGAAAACAGGGATCCACAGTTGAAAATGTTTAATTGTATTTGTTTCACGCGTTTTACGCATCCCGCTATGGTGAAGTTATGTCGCGTTTTTTGCCTCCAGTTTTGGTTTGGTTTCGCGAAATTTGGTTTTGGCTCGATCTGTTTGGTCTACCTGGGAAAGTTATTAGGGTTTCCTTTAATTTTTTCTTGAAATCTCAGATGCTATTTAAAAGTTTACGAAAACCCAAGATTTTCTTTTTCACCATTTCCGAAGACGAAAATTTCACGGGTCCTTTTTTACCAATGATAACCAACCCCGGTGAATAAGTTGGGAAACATTCAATTTTCGAAAATCGAAGGGTAATTATACTTACTAATGATACCCTATTCTAGACCGAAACTCTCTGATTTGTATACCCTGCTTGAAAACCATACACTTCACAGCGGCACACCTATATAGGCATGAGTTGCACCTGCGGAAAGTTTTCGTCTTTGCCGGCTAAAAAACCACTAAAAATTCGAAACCGCAACCGGAAAAGAAAACTTTTAATCAAATCGAGGAGGGTTGCACTAGTAGTTACTAGTGAAAGTCAATTGTCGTTGTTTTGACACATTGAGAACTAAAGTAGGCCAGGTAGCAGAGAACATTAACTCTTCGTCGTCCGATCATAGGATCGTTTTCCTCCTTTCCCAGTTTCAGGAGGATGGGAGAGATAAAGAAAATAAAGTGCTTGGCTGCGAAGACTGCATTTAGCTCGGAGAATAACAAGCCTCTGACTATACTTGCCTGGGTAGACTGTAATTGGTTCGCCTGTAAAGAGTTCCCGTAAAAACGTTGCAATGGTGAAGGATTATAAGCTTGTGAATTGCTCGCCTGAATAGAGTTTTCGTAAAAACGTTGAAATGGCGAAGAGTAGTAGCAGCCTCGTCCGTTCACAACGAAAGCGCGAAGGTCAGAACGTTTCAGCGATTGTTTCAAAGATCTTCAAATTGATCGTGTTTCAAATTGATCACGTTTCCCTGACAAGCGCTAACAGTTACCGCTGTGATTCCTATTGTTTAGCTCGAGTTTTCCAAAAACTGCCTACCCTACCCAAGCACAACGGCATCTTTGATGTATTTTGCGATTTTCAAAGGTTTTTCCAACTTGAAAACTTGGGGTCACACTTGGCAATGTGCCCCGATGATAGATTTCTACCGCAAGGTAAACAAATTCTTCAAAAAAATTTGCCAAGTGCGACCCATGCCATAGCCCATATATGGCAGTACCCCCCCCCCCCCGGC